TTAGGGTTTCACGGGGGCCCATGGGGGGTTGGGGGTGCAGTGGGGGACATGGGGAGGTTGGGGGTGCAGTGAGGACACCAGAGTTAATTTGTTGTGCAGTGGGGACTATGGTGGGGGGTAGGGGGTCCATAGAGGGATAGGGGGTGCAATGAGGACACCAGGGCCAGTTTTGGGGTGCAGTGGAAGCCATGGGGGTAATTTGAGGGTGCAGTGGGGTCCAGTGGGGTGGGAGTACGTTGAGGACACCACGACTAGTTTTGGGGTGTAATGGGGGTCCTGGGAGAGGGTCGGGGGTGCAACAGGGAGGGCACCAGAGGCAGTTTGGGGTCTGCAGTGGAGGCCATGGGGGAGCATTTGGGGGTGCAATAGGGAATGCCCAAGGGCTGGTTTGGGGGTGCAGTGGGGGCAGCCCCACAGTCAGTTTGTGGGATGCAATGAGGGCCATAGAGGGGTGAAATGTGGAGGGCACTGGGGCCAGTTTGTGGGGTGCAGGGAGGGCCATGGAAGGGTGCAATGGGGAGGGCACCAGGGCTGGTTTGGGGGTGCAGTGGGAGCACCACCAGAGTCAGTTTGGGGGTGCAGGGAGGGTTGTGGGTGGCTGGCACAGAGGGATTTGGGGGTGCAGTGGAGGGGAGTTGAGGGGTGCAGTGCCTGCTGGCAGCAGAGACTGTAGCCCCCCCCACCCCCAGCACTGGTGGGTGCCCAGGAGGCCGCTGCCCCCTGCTCTCCCCAGGTCTGACCTGCGCCAGATGTTGGCGACCAAGAGTGTGGAGAACATCCAGTTCCTGCCCTTCCTCACCACTGATGCCAAGTACAGTGGGGTTGGGCCCTGGGGAGGGGAGGTCACACAGATTTGGGATGGTCCCCTGGGCTGCAGCCCAGTGCCTGTGCCGTGTCTCTCTGCAGCAACGTGGGCTGGCTGGGCTATGGCTGCCTGAAGGGGGACGGGACACTCATCACCGTCAACGCCATCGGGGCGGCGCTGCAGACCCTCTACATCCTGGTGTACCTCTACTACAGCCCTGCCAAGGTGGGGCAGCGGCCTGGGGGGGCGGTGGGGACAGGGGGACCCTCGCCCTGACATCCCCCTGTCCTCCCCGCAGCGCCCCGTGCTGCTGCAGATCCTGCTGCTCCTGGCCGTGGTGGTCACCGGCTGCGGCTACTTCGCCCTCCTGGTGGACACGGGGACGCGCCTGGGGCAGCTGGGGCTCTTCTGCAGCGTCTTCACCATCACCATGTACCTCTCACCGCTGGCTGACCTGGTGTGTGGGGCTGGGAGGAGCTGGGGGGGCCCAGCCCGGGCCCAGACTGACGTTTGCTCCTGCAGGCCAAGGTTGTCCGGAGCAAGTCGACGCGGTGCTTGTCCTTCCCCTTGACCGTCACCACCTTCGTGGCCTCCAGCAGCTGGACACTCTACGGCCTGCAGCTGCATGACCCCTACATCACGGTGGGTTGGGGTGGTGGGCAGCCAGGGGATGCTGTCCTGTCCTGTCCTGTCCTATCCCATCCCAAGCCCATCCCCATCGTGACCCATCCCACTCGATCCTATCCCACCCCACCCCATCCCATTCTATCTTTATCCCATCCCACCCCATCCCACTCTATTCCAACCCCATCGAATCACATTCCCATCGTGACCCCAAACCCATCCCCATCCCATCCCACTCTATTTCAGCCCAGTCCAGCCCATCCCACCACATCCCCATTGTGACCCCAAATCCCACCCCATCCCAAACCCATCCCATCTCATGCTCATCCCACTCCATCCCATCCCACTCTATTTCAGCCCAGTCCAGCCCATCCCATTACTCCATTCCAATGCCATCCCCATCCCATCTCATCCCA